TAAGACCAGGAAATGATGGATACACGGATCGTGTTCAAATCAATAGGCACGCAATGACTCTAAATAATAAGGATCACGCCACCAAACACACATTCAGACTAAAGGAACCAGCTTGTGTTCAACATGTAAGAAGTAGAAAGTACAGGTATTTGTGTTCAACATGTAAGAAGTAGAAAGTACAGGTATTTGTGTTCAACATGTAAGAAGTAGAAAGTACAGGTATTTGTGTTCAACATGTAAGAAGTCAAAGTAAAAAGTCGTACTTAAGTACAGTAACAAAGTTATTTTTTCTCCAGACATTCCCCATTCTCTCCAGCCCTCCGCCTACCAAAGACTGGTCGGGGGTGCCGGTGCCCCATGACCTCGGGACAGGGACCGTCTACAGGTCGCTGGTGGCTCAGATGGAGAGGTTTCAGGAGGAACTGAAGAACATCGCAGAAAAAGGTGAGAAGAAATGCAAAATACACGGCCTGTTTGCAAAGATAAGAAACAACGAAGCAGCAAAAGAGCCGCTTTATGACTATATAAAATCACCCTTATTCTTTAAAAACTTGAATGAATTGACTGTGGGCCCAATATGGTGCCAGGTGGGACACCAGAGTTTTTTTAGAAAAGCATCAAAGCAGACTAAAATAGCTTTTTTATGCTAAGTTTTTTTAATTGGGGCATGATAGAGAGAGGTTTTAATTTGTATTAATGTCATGTAAACACTTTTGAATGTGTCCCTAAAATGTATAACTAAAATGCAATTACAGCTATTAAACGCAGTAAAATGTCACATATACTGCATTAACGCTATGGATATTTTTCTTTTACTGTTCATATGTTTATCATGTATTAAATGTTATGTTATTATATCTGTAACTCATTTGCAATGTCTTGTTAGCATGCTTTCCAATTTGGTATCAATTAAGTATTTCTAGTCTAATTTAATTTGTCACATTTTTAAGTCAGTTAATTTGTAAATAATTATTTTTAAAGAAAAATGAGTTATGGACCTTTTGTTCATTATGGATTTTGTCTGATAAATATTATTCCTTTTTGTTTATTAACTGTCCCTGGCTTTCTGTAATTTTGCAAAATGTTACGGTACGTCCACACGGCAGTGCCTCGTGCTTCAACGGAGACGCTTCCCATTCACTTTGAATGGGGTGACGTCACGCTTTGCCGAACTGCATTGTGGTTCCGTTGCGTCGCTTTGCCTCCGTTGCTCGCTTCGAAAGTTGAGAAAAGTTCAACTTTTCAAGCGTCGACGGAAGCAATGGCCAATCAAATGTATATGTCAGTACAAGCGCTAGCCAATCAAACCGCGTGCTTGTGCATCCGGGGCGGGAGATGAATGTGATTGGTTGTTGGACGCCAGACATGCCCACCAGCAAGCTTCAACGGTGTCCATACAACAGATCTAGTCATCATAAAGAGCTGAAATGCTGCCCTCTAGTGGTGAAAATTAGTATCGTAAAAATCATTTGTCCCCTTGTTTCTTACAGGTTTAGTACTGGAACCCAGTCCGATCCGACCACAGCCCAGTGAGTGTCCAGTCCACCTTAAATATGCTAAAATATTCAGGATAAAATATGCACATAGTCTTCTGATCATTCCACCTTTTACGAGTTAACAATATATTTCTATTCAGTGCATTATACTAGAGTCGTACCAACATTTTAACACAACATGTCTGTTTTTCTGCAGAGATCAGGAGGGTGCAGGAGTACACAGGTACAACACATTACTTTTGGACACACATTGCTTCCAGGCGTGATTTAAAATGGAACAATATACAATTATTTGGATGTTTCCTCTCTCTTTATTACAGCGGATGTGACTCTGAACGGGAACACCGCTCACCCCAGACTGATTCTGTCAGAGGACATGAAGAGCGTCAGTATTAAATAACTATATCTCAAATCCATCAGAACAATTTTACAATCTAAAAGAAGTGTCAAAATAAGGATTAAAATGCATGAAAGTCCTTTTTTTTCCTTCCTGTCTTTATATATTTTTTAATTAAGCAGATCGAGTAATTTTATTCATCGTTGTTATGATAGTGATGGGGGATTCTTGAAATTCCCCGTGTTCCTATGTGTTAAAAAAAATAAAACCCATTATTTATGGCTAATATTTTAGAGAAACTGATGGTATGTTTTCCCCGTATTGTCTTTAATGTAAAAAGAAAAAGTGTTACAATTGTGGTAAGTTTTTTCATGTTTGCATTAATTATTTGGGTTTTTTTTGTTTGAAAATAAATCGTTTTAATAATATTTTATCCGCTTTTTTACCAGTGGCATTTAAAGTATTGAACGCTTTCCTCCTGTGTGATACATTATATCATGCCTATGAATTTCTGTATACACTAATATTGAATGTGTGTGTGTGTGTGTGTGCGCAGGTGCATTGTGGAGATCGCCACCAGTTGCTTCCAAATAACCCCGAGAGGTTTGACCGAGTGGTGTGTGTGTTGGGGAGAGAGAGCATCTCCACTGGGAGGCACTACTGGGAGGTGAGAGGCTAAAATCTGCTTTATTTAAAACAGAAACACACTTTTTTTACGGGGAGATATGCTGCAAGTTGACACGGAAATGCACATTTTGTGTTTATGCAGAGGGACAGATACATATTGGTCATGATGATTTCAGAAAACTCTAACGAGGGGACAATTGTTTTGGTTTTTTTGGTGCCAGTTGCTGAAAAAATATTTGTTTTATTATAAGAAGTTTTAGTAAAAAGCCGGCAGTGGCTCAGTCAGTAGGGACCTTGCTTGGGAACCGTAGGGTCGCCGGTTCAAGTCCCGAACAGACCTTAATATGGAGTATGGACTGGTACTTGGAGAGGTCAAAGTTCACCTCCTGGGCCCTGCCATGGTGCTGCTCCCAGTACTAGTATGGGTTAAATGCAGACGTCCAATTATGTGTGTGTGTCAGGTGGAGGTGGGGGGGAAGACGGACTGGGACCTGGGCGTCGCCCGACAGTCCATCAACAGGAAGGGGAAGATCGAGGTAACCCCAAGCAACGGGTACTGGTTCCTCAGCCTGAGGGAGAGGTGAGTCTTAACAGCAAGTGTTCTCCTAACACCTACAAATGAATCAAAAAGAGGGAGGACATACTGTAAATAAGGTGACAGTGACATTACTGACATTTCCTTTATGTCAATATAACAGGAACAAGTACACCTTTCGCAGCGAGCCCTCCATTGACGTGCAGCTGAGCCTCCACCCACAGAAGATCGGGATATTTGTGGACTTTGAGAAAGGACAGGTGCATTATGGGAAACACAACTCACAAACCTCTTTAAGGGATAATTAATGCTAAGCTTAAGGGACAGTTAAGGGATAATTAAGGGTAAGGTTAAGGGATAATTAAGGCTAAGGTTAAGGGACAGTTAAGGGATGATTAAGGGTAAGGGATAATTAAGGTTAAGGGACAGTTAGGGGATAATTAAGGCTAAGGTTAGGGGACAGTTAAGGGATAATTAAGGGTAAGGTTAAGGGACAATTAAGGCTACGATTAAGGGATAATTAAGGGTAAGGTTAAGGGACAGTTAAGGGATAATTAAGGTTAAGGGACAGTCAAGGGATAATTAAGGTTAACGGACAGTTAAGGGATAGTTAAGGGATAATCACGGCTAAGGTTAAGGGAAGGTAAGGGATAATTAAGGGTAAGGTTAAG